CCCAGGCAGAGCAGAAGAGGCGGGACGCCATCAAGGTAACACAAGGGGCCATGTGGGCTGGCAGAGCACGCGACCTGGGGGTCCCCACGGCACCTGGCACCTCCACCCAGCACCTCCAGCCCCACCCAGCACCTCTCTGTTCTCGCCACCTTCTCCTGCGTTTGGCTGCTGCATCCACCCTGCCCAGACATGAGTGTGCTGGGAGCTGCCTCAGCTCTGGGTGGCTGCGTGGCGAGAGCTGAGATCTGACATCTTCTGAAGCAACTGGCCTCGCGCTGCTGGACTCAGACAGGCGCTGTGGCTCTGCTTCCGCACAGAAAGGCTACGACGACCTGCAGGCCATCGTGCCCACCTGTGAGCAGCAGGATTTCTCCATAGGCTCCCAGAAGCTGAGCAAGGCAATCGTCCTCCAGAAAAGTGAGTCTTGAGGGTGGGGAGAGGGAAGGGGGTGCTGCTGACCCCCTAGAGCCACGCAGCATGGAGGTTCAGCGCTCTGGGATGTTCTGGGATGATGCTGGGGGGAGCCCAGGTGCTGGCTGCCTCCCTGAGCAGAATCAGGGCAGCTGGGAGCTGATGCTGCCCAGGCTCGGGCACCTCCTGTGGAGACCCTGGGGACTTGTGTGCACTCTCAGATCCTCACTCTGCATTTTCTTGCTCAGCCATTGACTACATCCAGTTCCTGCATAAGGAAAAGAAGAAGCAAGAGGAAGAAGTTTCCACTCTCAGGAAAGATGTGATGGCCTTGAAGATCATGAAAGTGTAAGGGTTGTGGGGGTGCTGCCCCCTTCGCCCTGCTGTTTTCTGCCCTGTTCTTTCTAGGCTCCGTGGATTCACTCGGTGCCTCGTTAGTGGGTCAGCTGGGGGAACTTGGTATGAAGGTGGATCCGAGTCAGAAAACAAATCTGCTCCCAGTGTCAGGGCAGCTGCAGCTTCCCAGGGGTTATTTACTTGCAGGATCTTCTGCAACCTCTTGGTCCTCCCCCTCCCTGCGGCGCTTCTCGAGCGGTGCCGGGCAGGGAGCTCTGCACCACGGCCAGGCCGGAGCCGGGCGCAGGAGGCCTCACTCTGCTGCTGAGCGCGGGGCGCTTGGTGTGTTTCAGGAACTACGAGCAGATTGTGAAAGCACATCAGGACAACCCGAACGAGGGGAAGGATCAGGTCTCTGATGAGATGAAGTTCAACGTTTTCCAAGGCATTATGGATTCCCTCTTCCAGTCCTTTAACGCCTCCATCTCAGTAACGAGTTTTCAGGAGCTCTCGGCTTGCTTCCTTAGCTGGGGTGGGGATCAGTTTTTTAGCCCCAGGTGAGGGGACCACGGGTGGGCTCTTGCGATGGCAGAGGGACCCGCTTGCCATCCCGCCACTGGAACAACTGACCGTGTCTCCTCTCTGCCCCAGACGCTGCGGGA